TAAGGAATTACTGAGAACACCAATTCGAACTTTTGAATGTTGCAGCACAGGCAATTGTGCAATAATTAAATACCTGTTTGATTTTTTGTGCAATAGTTCTCAAGCTATATAACCTATTGCTGTTCTTTAACTTTTTCCAATTGTATCAGGGTAGTCCCATTTTATACCTGTTTTTTTAAATATCTCTGTTTGTAATGAAGTCTCTGCTTGCTTCAAAAATCTATTTAAAGCACTGAAAAGGGACTCAGACAAAAACACCACTTTTCACATGTACAACAGTCTTCATAAAATGGTCTAATGTACTCAGTAAAGTATGAAGAACCTATAAAAACATCATTAATTTTAAATATAATAATTTTAATATCAAGTATGTTCACATATTAAGAATGTACAATAGGGTGTCCCAAAAAACAACTTTTTTAAAAATAATCTGCTCTCACCCCCTAAATGTGTTCTATCTAATACAAAAACACTAAGTTTAAACTTTTTTTCAATAAAAAATAATTTAAAGGGTCCCTCAAGACCCTCAAATATTTAATATTTTCAAAAAAAAAGTTTTTAAAAATTATGTCAAACTGATACTCAAATGAACCGAAATTAAATAAAAATGTCTTGAGGGACCCTTTAAATTATTTTTTATTAAAAAAAATTTTAAACTTAGTGTTTTTGTATTAGATAGAACACATTTAGGGGGTGAGAGCAGATTATTTTTAAAAAAGTTGTTTTTTGGGACACCCTAATGTACAATAGTATGAACACGATTACAAGATAACAAATTACTTGTATTGATTTTATGTCACAGGTTGGAAGCGGTTTAAAGGTTTGTCTAGTCCTTGTGATATAATCGGGCTTTTTTTTTAAATAAAGAAACATCTTCTTGTTTAAGTTGGTTAAATATTTTACTCATAGTTATAGTTTCTTGATTGACTACAAAACCATTTTCAATTCTTTCAATATTCTAACACTGATCTTTTGAGCATGTGCACAGATTACAAAATTCACCTTTAACTCCTAAAAAAAGATTTGCTACTTTCATATCCATCACATATGACTGCACTATCACCTTTACATTAAATTGTTTTCTCTCTATATACATAAGGAAACCTTTATTTTTTAACTCTTAAATGTCAGAATTAAAGACAGACAATGATTGAAGAGTTTCTCTTGAATCTTTTCCCATTTGAAGACTCAGCACTTTGTAAATCAATGGGGAATTTGGTAACTTTTGCAATCATATTAAGAAACATGCAAAACATTGTAAGTATGATATTGCTAGTGTTAACATTATCTTTTTGATTAAATATTGCATGGCTTCCACTACCATCAAATCCAAATTTATTTTCATGAGTATATTTTCAATGTTTATATCTAAAAAAAAATTTACAATATCCTTTGCATCGTCAGTTTAATATATTAATATTATATTATTACTATATACACCTTAAAACACTCAGTTTTAATTTTAATTCATGCAATTCGTTTATTTTAAAACAGATTTAAATGCTGCAATATATATTTTTTTTATTAATGGTTGTACGAACTAAAATAAATTTGGTTGAAAATTAAAGTTCAATAGAAAAGAGGTAAAGGTAGCGGGGGTGGGGGTGGGGGTGAGAGAAATGGATGTCAAAAATTAGTTTTGATACTTTTTTAATTTCTAGACATAAACTTTTACTGAACACATCTTCCTCTTTAAAAAATATTTACAAAACTATGTAAAACTATTTGCATTAATATTTTTTAATATGTTTTACAAAAATTTAAACAAAAGGGGTTAGGATCATTCTTTTACTTTTTTTAAAAGTGCTAAGTTGGCACAATTTAGTTAAAAAGCATTTCATTCCTCTTTGTGATAGGAGTTTAAAAATGTATGGGTTTACTAGTGCCAATTTAGCACTTTTTGAAATAAATTCTTTTTTCTGATAAAAAATTTATTAAAAAACACTAAAATTTTGCTAAATTTTAGTTGTTTCATTAGGTATAACATGTAAAAATTTTGTGCAATAATCTATGAAGTTATCATTCACATTTCCGTCAAAGATTGTTTCTACATACAATTATCACATTAGCACTGCTTATATAGTGACATTTTTTCTTATATAATGCCAACAATGACTTAAATGTATCATTTATACCTATTACCTATATCTTGCAACGAATTTACATTTTTAAACTAGTATATTTTCTGAACAAATCATGCTTTTGAAATTTTTTTAAAATGAACTGGAAATTTATTCAGCTTTCAATAACAACTAACTGAAATTTATTTTGGTAACATTGATTTTTGAGCAATGTCCACTGTATGCCCCACTGTACATACGCATGAGCTGGTTTTTCATACACACACATCACACACATACATTACACACGCATGAGCTAGTTTTTCACACACACATATCAGAGGTGTACATTGGATTTTTAGATGTTTGAGTTTTGACACTTACAGGCATTGTACAAACTCGAAACCTTTTGCTTATTTTTGTCTATGTCAAATGAGAATGTTTTGCAAAGAATTGCGGCGATTGGAGTTTGGGAACAAAAAAACCCTAATTTTTGGGCCCACCCAGCCATTATCGTGGGAGCATGGAGTTTATAAATTATTTTCTTTACTCTTTTTATCTAAATTTATATTCATCAACAATTTTTTAAATTTATTTCTTAAGTATCTGCTGGTTTTTATGACCCTACAAAATTAAGAGCCTCCTCTAATTGAGGGGGATTGAAACTTTATATGGTCATAATTTTTTATGATCAACTTTATATGGTCATAAAATAAAAGATTAATGCATGAAATTTCAAATTTGTTGATGAATATAAATTTAGATAAAAATAGTAAAATATTTTATAAACTCATCGCTTCCATGCTAACGGCTGAGTGGGTTCAAAAACTAGTGGTTTTATATACCCAAGCTCCGATCACTGCATTTCTTTACAAAACATTCTCATTTGACATACGCATAAACATACAAAAGTTTGGAGTTTGTACAATGCCTGTAAGTGTCAAAACTTAAACATCTAAAAATCCAGTGTACACCTTTGTGTGTGTGTGTTTGTGTGTTAGTGTGTGTCTATATATATATATATATATATATATATATATATATATATATATATATATATATATATATATATATATATATATATATATATATATATATATATATATATATATATATATATATATATATATATATATATATATATATATATATATATATATATATATATATATATATATATACACACATACATACATACACACATATACACACAAGAGCTGATTTTAGGCTTTAGAATACATTGCTAAAGCCACATTTTTCACATTTTATTAGCAAAAAAAAACAAAACTTTTATATTTAAAATATAAAAAATACATAAATACTTAAAATTTCTTTAAGAGCTTTTTTTCTAAATCTTGTAAAAAACTACCTTGGTTGAAGTCTTTTCTAACTTTGCTCTTGAAGAAAATAAACCAACAGAACCTTTTTTCAATCTAAAACATGCTTCACAATTAGGAAAAAAAAAAAAAAAAAAAAATCAATTATAAAAAAAATATATCATTTTTCAATCAACTAAAAAATGTTAGGAGAAAAATATAAAAAATTCTAAACAAAATAGAAAACTTATTTGGTTTTTCTTTTTGTCATAAAATGATCTATGATGCTTTTCAAACCCCTGACCCCCAATAAAGGTACTAAAGCCCTCTCCTATGGTTGTATATAACCATTAACTCTAATGTTTTTATAAGCCAACATTATTTGACTTAAAATTTAAAAATTTTCAAAAGCTAATAAACTTAAAATTAACCACCCATGAAAGTCACTTTATAATATTTATATAATTTAATAGTACTTTATATTTTTAAATATATTCTAAAAAAATAAAATTAGACTACTTGATTAGGATGTAAATAACGGAAACTGAAACTAAACAGTTTTTCAAACAGTCCATATTATTGATCTCTTTACTTTCTTGAAAATCATTTTAAGTTGCTCAGACAGAAGAACCAATGTTATAAATTAAATGATTAGTACATTAACAGACAAAATATGAAATATATGCATGTATTGCACAAAAATTTAAACATATTCTTTTTTTGTAGTTGTTAAGCTGTTTTGGGTTTTTTGTGTTTGCTGAAAATTTTAAAAACTTAAACTTTTATAAAAGGAGAATTGTTGCATAAGTAAGAAAAATTGTACAATTTGATTGTTAGACAATATTTTGTTGTACTATAAATTATTTTAAATTACCTGACTGGTAATCCAATTTTATTTGCATGTCTGCTTTCAAAAAAAAAAAAAACTCAAATAACTTTAGTAAGGTTTTTAGAATTTTCATTCAAAGAAAAAAAAAAAAATGAGCTTTATGATTAAAGATTCTTTTTTAATCATAAAGTTCATTTTTTTTATATAAATAGAACGATATAAAAAATAGAACGATATAAAAAATAGAATTATATAAAAAATGTAGTAATATTTTTAATCAGACAATAATATTCAAAAATAATAATATTAAAATAAATAATATCAAAATAAATTAAAATAGAATTTTTAAAAGTTAGTAAAACTTTTATTTTAAAGATTTCCAAGAAAAATTATTTTTTGCTGTTTGTAATTTTAATAATTTGACTATTTCTGTAGTATGGACAGAAAAAAATGTCATTATTTGCTGTTTTTGAAATTGTAAAAGATTTCTGGCAAATATGTTCACTAAACTTTTTAAAACTATTCCATGCCATCTCTTTTCATTCCCATATCATTCCCACATATTCCCATATAATTCTTTTATTTAAATCATTTCAACTTAAATACATATAATTTGTATTTAGAGTCATTTAATTATGTAATTGACTTAAAATCCATAAGAATTTTGGGAATTTGGAACTTTAAGAATTCTCAAAATCCTTGTGATTAGAAGAAAATTGAATTAGCATAAAAGAAAAACAACATTCCGATACCACGATCGATATAACCAGTAAATAGTGTCAAAATGGCTATAACGAACTAAATAACAATTATGTGGAAACTATTTGAACAATAGTGTTTTTTTGTTATTGAACAAAATATTTGTATAAATAGAGTTTTGTTGTTGTTGTTTCAGATACAAATATATAAAGAATATAAGTAATATAGTTAATGTAAAAACAATTAAGATCTTAAAAATATAAGTTATAATACATATTTGGTATTATTTGTGATCGCCATCAGATCATAATTGGTAGCATAGGGTAGTCTCTTCAACACGGAAGAATGGTAAAAAGAAAAAATCAAAAATTAAATAATCAATCGGAAGATCAATTCCAGATAGGATTGCAAATAATGTTGATCAATGGTTTCAAGAACTAAACGATCTCCCAAAAATAAACATTCCCAGATGTTTACAAACAACTTCAACAGTTACAAATAAGTCACTTTTTACGGATGAATCTTGTAAAGCTTATGGTGCTGTTGCTTATCAACAATGTTTATATGACACAGGAGAAGTGACCTGTGTGAATATAATGTCAAAAACCCGAGTAAGCCCATTACAATCTATTAGTATACCAAGACTTAAGTTACTTGGAGCTGTCCTCGGTTTACGACTTGCAGAGAAGATTGTCAAAGCATTGAAGCTGGAAACTAAGGGCGTAACTATATGGTGTGATGTCTTAATGTTTTATGATAAATAAGAAATCAAAGTCGAAAGTTGAAACCATGTTGCCAACAGCATTGGATTCATTCAATCAAAGACTGAACTAAAACAATGGAGATACATAAAAACAAAAACTAATGTAGCTGATTTACTAACAAGAGGAACAACAGTTAAAGAATTAGAAAGTAATAATAAATGGTGGCATGGACCAAGTTTCCTTAATTCTTTAGAAGAAAAATGGCCAGAGAATCACATTGAAGTCACACAGGCTTCAATTGAAGTAAAGAAATAGCCAGTATTAATGAATTTTGCATTATCCACTGAAGTAACAAAGCAATTGCTTGATATAAACAAGATCTCATGTTGGAAAAAACTTGTCAGGATAAACAGCTGGACCCATCGGTTTATAGGAAATTGTTAATTTGAAACAGACTTTTGTAAAAAGGGTGATATAGCAGCTGATGAATATCATGAAAGCGAAAAAGAAATCATAGCTAAAGCTCAAAAAGAAAGCTTAAAAGATGAATATAGCAACATTGAAAAAGGAAAACTGATATCGATATCAAGCAAACTCATTTCTTTAATTCCGCAAATTGACAATGACGGATTATTGCGATCTTATAGTCAATTGCAAAATGCCCTTTACTTACCCTATGATGTTAAGCAACCAATCATTTTGCTGAGAGGGCATACAATAACAAAATTGATTGTTAAACATTACCATGACGAAGCCAATTATGTGATGGGAACAAATCAATTATTAACAAAACTATCAGAACGATATTGGGTAATACGAGGACGAGAAGAAATCCGAGATAAAGAAGCAAAATGCAACAAATGTAAATTAAGAAGATGTAAACCTGCTTAACAGCTGATGGTTCTTTTACCAGCAATGCACTTTAATGAACCACTACATGCGTTTGTTAGAATTTGTATCGATTTTGCTGGTCCATTTCTTACCATGCAAGGTAGAGGGAAGATACAACAAAAGAGATACTTGTGTTTGTTTACCTGTTTACTATCACGAGCAGTACATCTTGAGATGGCTTATAATCTAGATACAAATTCATTCCTCAATGTCTTTTATCGAATGGTGAATACAAGAGGATTACCATTAGAAGTTTTAACAGACAATGGAACAAATTTTGTTGGAGGATGTAAAGTAAAATAAACTTTTATTACATAAGTTCATATAAAATGAATAAAATAAAAATAAAATAAAAAGTTTACAAACCGTTCTTGAGCTTCTGCAGCTTGTTCCTTTGCTTGTAGAGTTAATTTTTCTGCCTCCATGTATACCTTTTGACTCTATAAAATTTCGAAAATTTTATAAATAACTATATAAATAAATACAAAATTTTTTTTTTTTTATAAATAAACAAAAATATCTAAAATCTTAATTAGTATCTTCTTTGAAGATATAGAGAAAAAAAAAAAAAAAAAAAACTTTACTTTGATGAGTTCAGCAGCTGATGCTTGTAGTTCTTCATGGATTCTTTCTGCTATTGCAGTACTCTTTACATGGAAAAAAATATAATCATAATATATTGCAGGACTCTTTACATGGAAAAAAATATAATCTTAATATATTGCAGTACTCTTTACATGGAAAAAAATATAATCATAATATATTGCAGTACTCTTTACATGGAAAAAAATATAATCATAATATATCGATACAAACTGTATAACAAAATTTATCTAAAAATATGAATATATTTAAAAAAAATAATTTTTAAAAACTTAAAAAAAATTAATGAAAACAATTTTTAAACATTGTAACTGTTGCATTGTAATGTTAATTGGGATTGACATTGCATGGCAATAATATGCATAAGTTTTAACAAGTTATAATTTAAATAAGTATTATAATTTAGAATATTCTTGCTAGTGGATTCAAATTTGAAACAACCGATTCAATGAAAGAAAACCAACAACAGCTAGAATTAACATATTGCATTAAAATTTTAAGAAAGGTAATTATATAACTTATAAACTTTTTTTTAGTAAAAGATAAAGATAAAGAAAAAATAATAAGACTAACTTAAAAAACATAGATAAAAAATACTAGTAAAAAATCTGATATATAGAAAAAAAAATTATGTGAGCTTCAATAAAAATAACATTCTTTTTTTTGAAGTATCAGAATCTATATTTTCTTTATTTTCAAATGCTTTCTCCAAACTTTTTTACTACTGACTCTGCAGTCTTGTTGACAGCAGTCTTTATGGACATTTTTTGAGCTTCTCAACTTCTTTAACAATTTTTTGATAGCAATTTAATTACTAAATTTTTATTAATAAATTTTATTTAATACTAAAATAAAAACCAAATGAAAATATTTTTAACTTACTTTTACAGAATTTTTTTTTTTTTTTTCAGAACTAAAGTTTTTTTATGTAAATATTTACTTTTAAAAAATACCTTTTTCATTGTGATTACTCTTTCACTTTTTAAAGTCTTAATGCTTTCTGAAACACTAATCATTGTTTGACCTATTTTCATACGCGAGTTTGCAAGATTTTCTGTTTCTTTAAGTACTTTACGCCAAAGACCATCAGGTAATCTAAAGAAATAATCTTAAAGTAACTAACAACGTCGAATTATTACTATTAATTTATTTACATTAAAAAAAAAAAAGATAATACACTCAATAATTACTCTTATGTAACAACAAGGTATTTTTTTTTAAGTTAGATTCAAACAAATTTAAAGATAAAAGATCCTTTCAATAGCATAAATAAAAACATTTTTTGGTAAATATATTTAGTTGACAATTAAAGGGCATAATTTTTAAATTAAAATAATCAATTTTATCCAAATATTGATACTATATTTTAAAATTATAAGTTTTAACTGCTAGGTTGATTTAATTGATAATTATTTTGATTGTTTATTACATTTAATTAATTTTCAAACATTCATTACTCATTTAACACTTTTTTTGTTCACCGTTGTCCATCTAACCTTTCAATTGTTTATCTATACTGAATTTTTTTTTCTTAAATATTGATATTATTTTAAAGATTTTTTAAATTTCTGCATTTTCTTGATAGTAAAACTTTCTGCTGTCTGCAAACAAAGATTTAAAAAGATTGTAATCCAGTTTAGCATTTCAGATTTAATACTGTAACAAGTTTAAACAGTAACTTAATGTGAGAAAGGGGAGGTCGGGGGAATGGTGGCCCCTTAAGGTTTTTTGCCACTTTTAGGGTTGTATTATAATGGTCCGAGCTGTAACTATGGTAGAAGAACTATTACAATGTATATTATAAAGTACTTTATGGGCAAATACGTACAAAAAATAATTAACGTGTTATTACAAGAAAAAAAAATTAAACAAAATGGCCAGTATAACCCCATAACTTTGGTGCAATTGTGGAAGCCTGGTTAGCATTACCCCAATTCTTTTGTCAAATACGAATAATGAAAACAAGAATAATAATAAATAAAATTAAGTTTTATAAGAGTTTAAGAATTAATAAAAATAAGTAGTACAATATTACTATTAAGCCACAGATATAAATATCGTTTTTATGGAGGAGATCTGTACATCTTTGTGGGCCCAACCACCACATGTAGCACAGGTTACCCACCATTCTCGGTGTTTACTAAATTCCCCACAAACCAAAGAAATATCTTTGGTTTGTGGGGAAAAGACTTTCCTATTTTCTAACCATTTTATACGGCCATGATTGTCCCGTATATCATAACCCCAAAATGAATCAATTTTTATTAACAAAAATAAAAACATATTTGCAATATGTTTTTATTTTTTTATCATTAGTTCTTCTAGTAGAACAAAGGTACGAGTACAGATAAAAAATCGCAAATATAGAAATATCATATGTCCATAATTACCCCAGAGGCCATCAATCCCCCGACCTACCCTACAATATCTATCACAGAAACATATGTGTACATGTAAATCTACATTTTTAAATACCACATTGATGCACAGAAATGAAATTATTTAATTATAACATTCATAGTAAACTGTAATTTTTTTCTGGAATAATTGATTTCTCAAATTTACAAGCAACTCATCTCATGAAAATAGGCCTATAGTTTGTGGTTAAAGATGGGTTTCTTTTCTAAAATATTGGACACACTATAGCAATTTTCCAGATCTTTGATTTTTTGTCACTTTTAACCTATTATTTTGGTTTAATTTTGCTTGGTCAACATATACCAATTTACATTAAGTGTGCATTGTGTTGTAATCAATGTAGCTTGCATTGTAATTAACATACATTGTTTTAAAATCAGAGTATATTGTGTTGCAATCGATGTGCATTGTGTTGTCATTATGTTTGTGAAAATGCAAGATGGTTGATTATTTTGCTGAATTTTTTACTGATTTACTGAGTTCTCCATATTACAATTGAAAAATACCAGGTGCTTGAGAATAAGTCATCAGTTTTTGCATTAAATACATTTTTATAGTTGTTTGGTAGTATTAAATCTAAAATGTTGTGATGTCGAGTATTGTCAGATACAAGCTGATTTAAAACTGCCAGAGCGCATTTCTTTAAATAGATCATGACAAAAATACCAAAAATTAATTGAGATCAACCAGTTTATGAAAAATAGATTGAAATTGACTCTATGGCTACATGTAACAGTTTGAAAGTGACTCTATGACTCTATGATACATGTATAATGTCATGTAAAGTGATTTTATAAAGTAACTTGCACAAAGCTTTAGTTTTTAAAGTATTAGTGACTGCAAATGGTGAGTAATAAATGCATGAAATTCATATCTTAAAATCATTGGAGGACAAAAACATGTCAATAAATGTTTGCACTTTATTATTGTTAGGCATTAATATCAGACAAACTTCGCCTTAACTGATTTGTTACATCAAATTACCATAGACTATTGTCATTAATATTAAACCATGTTTTTGTTATGAGAACAATAACAAGATTGTTTTGAAGAAGATTGTGTAGGTTGTGTAAAGAAAAATTTTAAAAGGATATTGCTTATTTTTGATTTTAGTAATATTATTAAATTGATTCTTATTGATTGTAGGAATAATGTGGCAATTACATTTACTGGTGTTATTATCTTAAGTACCAAATTCACTAAACTTTGTAACATCAATTTTTACAACGACAACTTTTAGGTAACATTTTTCTCTCTGAATCACCAAGACTTTGATTTATTCTGTCATATTATATTCAAATATACATTTATATATGCTCCCTTATTCTCAAAAATACTTGCTATAAAAAGCAAGATATCTGTAAAAAAACTTTTTCGAACAATTTTTGATAACATTATTTACCTGTAAACAAATAAAAAATTTTAGTGTATTAAATAGTCTATATTATCTTATCCTACATAATTTTACTGATTTATTATACCAGTACCTAAATTTTTATGATATAAAATTTTTAATTTATTTAAGCAATACCAAAAATTTAAATGAAGATCCATACTAGGGCAGGTTAATATTGGAATAGATGTTTTATTTACAAAAAAAGTGTTGGGTTGAAGCTTTTTTATTTTAAAGAAGTTTAGGTTAAGCTAAAATGATTTCAAAGTATTGATAAATATAATTAAAAATTTTTTTGAAACGCCATCTTCACCATTTACATTTTTGTACAAAATTAAAGATTGCTGCATTTAAGCAAGATAAACAATTAAATTTTGTGTTAAATTTTTACAGAAATAAATCAAAAAGTAAAGACTGTCAAACAAGCATAAACATGCAATAATACAACGTAAAAATAAATTTAGTGAAACTCCTAACCCTATATTAATACAGAACCACCCACAGGCACATTATTCAAAAGTTTTATTTTCTAAACAATAGCTATTCAAGTTACAGTTCCAGCATAACTGTAAAACTTACAGCAAAAAAAAAATAATTATGATATAAACAATAGTTCATCTTCGGTTACATTTAATGTTCACTTATTGCATAGAAAAAAAGTCAGAGTACTTTTTAAATTATCCAGACTAATAAATCAAAATTTAAATTATCCAGACTAATAAATCAAAATTTAAATTATCCAGACTAATAAATCAAAATTTAAATTATCCAGACTAATAAATCAAAATTTAAATTATCCAGACTAATAAATCAAAATTTAAATTATCCAGACTAATAAATCAAAATTTAAATTATCCAGACTAATAAATCAAAATTTAAATTATCCAGACTAATAAATCAAAATTTAAATTATCCAGACTAATAAATCAAAATTTAAATTATCCAGACTAATAAATCAAAATTTAAATTATCCAGACTAATAAATCAAAGTAAATGTAAAGTAGCAACAGGAATTTTATATTTATATTTTTGTAGAGACAATATATTTTAAAAATAGAGTAAAATTTGGTCTAAAAAAATCATTTCATCTTGGTTTAATTGATTGGTCTAGAAACATATCTTTATACTTTAAATAACAGGTGACAACTAAAAAACAAGACTGGATTTAAAGTCACATATCTCCTTAAAGGAATAGGATTTTAAAAATAAGAAAACTGTTTTAGAAGGTATTTTTATTCTAGTTTTTAAATATTTAGAAAAAATATATATTAAAATAAAAAAATGAATAAAAAAATAAATTCAAAACAAGAAGAGATTAGAAAACCTGTATGAATTTTATTTAAATTACAAATAAGCTGGCAAAAAGTTCACTTATGACCACTTTAAAGTTGAGAAAATACCTAAAAGTACTATCTACAAGATAATTAAACGTGCTGAAAGTGAATGGGTACCAAAGAGTTCAAAAAAGTGGAGTAAAAGCTAAAAAATGACCAGGACAAACATTGAAAGGCTCAAACTCATGTTTGACCATAAAGACAGAGTTTCTCAACAACAGGCAGCTATAAGTTCAACTGAACTCAGCAACACATTAGTAAAACCTTAAGAAAAAAAAGAACAAATATTAAATCAAGAAAAAAATGACGATTCCAAAACGCTGACCAGCAAAAAGCAGTAGCTGGAACTAAGTGCAGTCGATTGTGTCAGAAATTCAAAAATCGTAAACCAATCATTGACGATGAGTCTTATTCCACGTTAAATCATGGAAATGATATATTTTACACTATTGATGTAAAATCTACTCTATCTACAGTTAAATACCAAACAAAACAAAAGTTTCAAAAGAAATTACTTCTATGGATTGTTTTTTCTGAAAATGGAATTTCTCAATCTTGTTTTGTACCAAGTGGACTGGCTGTAAATCAATATTTAAACAAATGTATTAAGAAGAGACTTATTACATTTATCAATAAGTATCATTCGGATGGTGCATATGTATTCTGGCCAAATTTAGCATCATCTCACTATGCAAAAACAGTAATCATGTACCTAAACAAGGAAAAAGTGCACAATGTTGAGAAAGCGGATAACACTCCAAACTTGCCCTATCGAAAATTTTTGGAGTATTTTGAAAGGCCTTGTCTACAAGAAAAATTGGCATGCAGAAAATATTAAAAAATTACGTTCTAGAATTAAGTATTGCCTTAATAAAATTGATAATGAGCTCATACGGAGACAAGCTCAGTCTATACCAGGCCTATTTGATAAAGTCAGAAGAAATGGTTTAATTGAGAACAACTGATTATTTATTTAAAAACTAGAATAAAAATACTTTCTAAAACATTTTTGTTTTATCTTATTTCTTTAAAGAGATATGTGTCTTTAAATCTAGCCTCGTTTTTTAGTTGTCACGCGTTAACCACTGCATCAAGAAACTAGTTACAAATTTCAAAAAATGGTAATATTAGAAGTTTGAAATCTGTTAGCTCTAGCTCAAGTATAGTAACTCACAAAAGCTTAAAGTTTCGAATTAAAAAGTAAAAACTCAAGTTTCTGCTTTGATGAAATATACTAAATTAAAATCAATTAGTTGAATTTTGTGATTTATTTAATTTAAAATTCATTTCTTGAACAAAAAAAAATTTATTAACACAACTTTAAAACTTTTCTCATAGATATGGAGCCTTAAAGAAAATCATTAGGAACTTTTGAGCAGCCGTGGCCCAATGGTTAAAGTTTTGGCTCAGAACTAGGGCATCCAATACTGGTATATCGATACCAAGCTCTTAATACCAGTATATACCGGTATTTCAGTTATTTTTCTCATCGGACAGAAATTTTTTAATGAGACTTTGTGCAAGATTGGACAGATATTTTTAGAAAGTTATTAGCGTTAAAATATCAAACAAAATTTCAACCCAATTTTTAGCCTAACATTTTAACTAAAATGATGGCCACCGATGACTTGCCATTCAGGGTTTTCATAATGTCCAATGAGCTAAAAAACTCACTGATTGCTCAAGGTTTTGATGTGCTAAAAGCATCCAAATCCATTCGCCAAAAAGGTTATGAAATATGCTAATAAAATTCGAAACTCAATAATAAAAGAATTATCTGAACTTCAACGGCAAGGAAACCGATTTAGTCTTACGTTTGACGAGTGGACTTCTGTAAAAAATAGACGTTATTTGAACATTAATGTTCACTTTCAAAACAGTTTTTGGAATTTGGGTTTAGCACAAATTAATGGACATTACCCAGCAGAAATGTGTGTTGAGTTAATTGACAACCTGCTAAAAGAACACAACTTAAAAATTGATTGCAATATCATATGTATTACCACGGATATCATCGGTTTATGAAGAAAGTTGACGATTAATGTCCATCAGCCAACAACTTTGTCTAACCCATGGAATCCAATTGGATGTGGTTGACGTCTTATATAAAACAACAGTTGTGGGCTCAACAGATGATTATTTTAAATATGATGAAGATAGTGCTGGTGAGATTTCAGATGAATATAATGAAGACCATTTAGACAGATTAAAGATTTTTCAGAACTCAACAAATTCAAATGAACTTGCAAATAATTTGGCTCTATTGATAAGCAAAGTTAGAAAAGTTACAAAGCTGTTCAGATGATCACCGACATAAAATGAAATCATTCAAGTTTATGTAAACACTGAACATGGTAAAGAACTGTCAGTAATATTAGAGAATAAAACCAGATGGAACAGCTTACTTTTTATGCTAAAGCGTTTTTATAAATTAAAAATTCCATTTAAAAAGCCCTGATTAACTTAAATTTAACTATTGACTTTACGGAATCTGAATAAGAATTAGTATTATCAACAGTTTTTATGTTGCTACCAGTGAAACTGGCTGTAAAGGCTTTATATTAGAGAAATGCTAATCTTCTATCAGCTGATACTACCTTGGCATTTATGCTGCAAAATTTGGGCGAGGGATCATTAAATAACAATATAAAGGCTTCCTTATTTAAAAGAATAAAAGAAAGGCGCACAAATTTATCTTTTCTTACAATTTCTTTATAAAGGTGATCAAACCCAAAATAATTTTGGTTCAGATATATTTGATAGGCTAACTAAAATATTTAAAATATCTAAGTATTAACGATCTGATATGAAATGATACGAAAAGAAATTACTATATTTGAGGAAGACGGTACACATGATATTAACTTGAAGTTGGCATACGATTATACTTTAACTATTTCCCTAACAAAGGTAGAAACTGAATGGGCTTTCTCTTTATCAGAAACATTATGAACGAAAATTCGATCATCTTTAAATGAAGAAATTTTAAATAATTTTTTTTTTTTAATTATTACTATTTTTAAAAAATTATTTAAAAAAATTTTTAAATAATTTATAAATAATATTTTTTGCGAGCCTATTATATATATAATATAATAATAAATAATTAATATACAATAATAAATAATTATAATATAATAATAAACAATTATATATATAATAATAAATAATTTTTAATAATAAATATAATATAACAATAAACAATTATATATACAATAACTTTTGTTTATGCTTTTTTTTTTTTTTTTTTAATGAATTAATTTCATATATTAGTTTAACTTAAACAACTTACAATCTTTGGAAGCTTCCAAAGTATGCTATTGATTTGATTAGATATAATATAGAGGTTCAATTTTAGCTGCACTAGAAAATGCTCTTATGATATCTCAGTTCATAAGAGCATTTTCTAGTTTGATGGTTTAGCAATCACATCAACTTTAGACAAATGGACTGTAATCTTCATCAGAATGAACTTCTCTTTAGATCTTTTTTTAAAACAATTCCTGAAGCAACCAAGTCCAAATATTATTTTGTATATATATTAGGAAAAATGAATAATATCAAAAATAAGCTTTAGCTTGTTAATAATTAACTTGTAAATAATATGCATTTAATTGCTAATTTTAATGTTATTAGTTTCCAATTACTGGTATTATTTAATTTTTTTTTTTGATGTGCTTAATATATGAGTGCATAATACTCAAGTTGGAAAATTAGTTGCCTTAATGACTCTCATATGTTAACATTAGCAATATATGTGCTAGTATTAAATCAAGATTCTGGGTTGATTAACTACATTTTCTATATTCACTATAAAAAGAGAAATAAGTTGCATGAAGCTGTATTAACCATTCATTTTATAACCAAATCAAAAGTTATTCAAACTATAAGCCTTGTAAATAAAATTCTGAAAATTCAAAATGATGTTCATATATGGTTCAAAATGATGTCCATATATTCAAATTGATGTTCGTATACGAGCTCATAAATATTTTTGATCAATACACAGATGAACCAGCATCAACTGAAGATTTTATTGATGAGGAGATAGAATAAAAATTATTTTCTAGAAAAAAGTTCAACCTCACAGATATTGGTTCCCATTTACATAGTGATGAAAGGTTTGTACAACTTGTTTCTAAGGCTGGTTGTATTATTTTTAGAAAAGATGGTTGTCATAAACATATTATTGCAAAAATTCTACCCCAAAGCATAAGATGAATCTAAATGTTTTTACAGTGAGATACACAATAATATTCTTAATTAGTTAGAAAAATAATTAAGTGCAACTTGTACATATTATATAAAGTAAATGAAAATTTGTAAAAAAATTGTAAAAACCTGTAAAAACGTTATGCAACGAATAAATGACTTTTTCGTTGCATAACGTTTTAAAAGTGACCATGAGAAAATGAATTAAATTAGATCATTTTAAAAAATTTTTATTTGGTGTTTTAAAATTTTACACCTCGTACTCCAAAAATAATTAAGATTCTATTATTAACTTCTAAACTAAAATGCTGTAGTAGAAACATTTTTAATAAAATATTTGCATTTTTGTATAAAACCCTATTTTGCAAGAGAATATTTTAAAAATTTTAATAACTAATTTAAAAATAAAGTTCATGTTTTAATAACGGATATTTTGTTTTTTTTCTTTATTTTGTCACTATGGAGCCAGTTTTTCCTGTCATATATATTTTTAATATATCAAATGATTGAGTCCTGAATTCGTAATACAATGTCAGAAACGCTTCAGTAAATGTTGGGTGAAAACCTTTCAGACACTTCTTCAAAGCAAAAATCGCTCATGAAGGTAATGCTGTTTTAATTTAATAAAATTTACCAGGATGTGTTTTTGGATTGTTTAGAAAATATCTCTAGAATGCCAAACACTTGATTTCAAAAAAGTTGTAATTCGACCTGCCCTAACTTATATCATTTACCAGAACTTAAGATAAAATGCTCAAAATTGGACATAATACTAAATAATGTAATGTTAATAAATTTAATCAACATAATATTTAAAGAACGCTATACCAATTTTGATAAATAAAAAGTTGACAATAATGATACCATTTTCAAGATAAAGAAAACTTACTTTTTTTCTTCCTCTTCATCTTTAACTTGAACTTTTGCTAACAATTGAGTAGTTATTTTCAAAAGAGCCTATTAAAGAAAATAAAAAAAAAGAAATGAAGCCAACATATCTTGATATCTTTGCAAACTTATCAAGATAAAATATGCAAAAGTAATTGCAGAATCCAAACAAAAGTTTGGACAAAAACCGACTTTTTGAAAAACCAGTTTTCGAATTCTAAATACCCCAATAAACCGGTTTTAACCGGTTTTCAAATTTTTTTAATAAAAATTGAAAAAACAAGAAAGACTTAACTTATATATTATATTTATTTCACTTATCGTAATTTTTCTTAAGGAAATAGGATTTTAAAAAAACAATATGACCACTGAATGGTGGCTAAGTCTTATTCTAATTTTAGGCACAAAATTGAATGCAGTTGAAAATATGCGTTCACTAGGTACTGAGCTCGGTTTTATAGTTTTAAGTACATCAAATAACAAATCTAAGTTTTTGGTTCTTTCGTGTTTTCCTCAAATATTGAAAACTCAGCTTTTATTGTATTTGGGTTGAGCTTTTCTGCAGAGTCTTCAAGAAACTTATTAACTAAACTTTCCATGACCTATTTTGAAAAAGCTTTATTCTGATTCTTAGATTTTCTCTTGATTTGAATTGGTGTTCACATTAGAATTTTGAAATATTGTAGACAATAACTTTATAGACAATTTAATAAAGTCGATTTTAGAAGCTAAAAGAAGTACACTAGATTTTTTAGTTGGGCCAAAAATGTTTTTAGGATTTTGCAAATACAGTAAAAGAGTTTCTAATTCATAAATTAATACATACACATATTAAATTATTACATTTACAAATACATAAACATAATATAATCTTACATATAAATACATTTTATAAATACATATAAATAAATAATACATCCAAATTATTTGAGAAGAATGACTTTTTCAGGAAGCCATTTTGGCAAAATTTTCCCTAAAACGTTATGTTAAAATATGTGTATTTTTAGATAAGCAATTGTTCCTATTGGTTAATTATCATATACATTGCAAAAATGAAATCAAAATTCTCATTAACCGCAGGAAAAAAAGTTTAAGCTACATGTTAAAAAAAAAAAAGGAAACAGCTTACTAAACTAACTGAAGAAAATGTTATTGTATATCAACAATATATTATAAAAATGTTAACAAATAAAAAAAATAGTTTTTGTAATTTAAAAAACGGTTTTTAAATGTGTAAAATTTATTTAAAAACCGGTTTTTTCAAACCGGTTCTGAAAAACTGCCAAACCCTAATCCAAACAACACCAGCAAATTAAGAACCAGTAAAATAATGGCTATTTTGTGAACTAAAATTATCAACTTTAATAAATTCTAGTACTTTATTAACTTAAATATGTTAAATGTAAAAATAAATTAAATGTACACTATTATTCATTTTAGGCCTAACAAAACCTTATATTTTTGTTGTTGTTGTTGCAGTGGCACCTCTAATATTTTGTTTTTTTATGTAATTTTTTATGATCTCATTTTAAGTGATTCTAAAAAAGAGACTATGTTTCAATTTTTAAAAATAGAATTTATTGTATATTTCTGTTTGCATTATGAAAAGGTTTCCTTATTTCAAAGAATTCCTTAATTAGTGATACTTCAGACATTATTTCTAATTGAGATTGATATAAACAGCACTTGTAGCAACCAAAATATATCAAACTAGAGAAATTATTATCAGGGGCTATTCTAGAAAAATAACCTTGGTGGCAGCACCCCCCATGTTGATGCATGCTGGAAGGATATATTGATGGAAACATTGATGAATAAAGGTATTTTTTGACGAAAAACAATATTAAAAAAAAACAATATGTTTATTTTTGAAAAATAAATATTTGCACCAAAATTTTATTATGTAAAAAATAATATTCATTCAATACACAGTTTGATTATTTGTTTTTTCAAGTTAAACAAGTTTTAAAAGGTTTTATTTTATATGAATTGAAAAAATAAAATTCATTCTTTTTTTTTTTTATCATTTTTTTATTTTTTTTTAAATTCATTCATAAGAAACATAGCAATGTCATTAATTCATTCTAAAGTTACAAAAACTTACTTTTTGAATGTTTGTTATTCTCATGCATTTTTTAGTGAAAATTTTAGCATGATAAAATAACATAATAATGTTATTAAGTTTTAAAATCTTTAAACTATAAGATAGTCGATGTACTGAAGCACTGAGAAAGTTTACAATCAGTTCAAAAAAGCGTCTACAAAAAGTTTGTATTTTAGTCTTTTTTTGAATGTTTTTAAAATGGTTGAGTTACATGTGATTATAGAAAAACCATCCCATATTTGAGGTGCAGTCATAGAGAAAGACTTTGATCCTAGAAAAGTTTTTGATATCGTTTATCTTTACTAATGTATTATATATATATATATATATTTATAATATATTATTTTTAGAATATATTATTATTATTATATTATGCAAAACCCTTTTTAAATTAAGTAACAACTTAAAACTGACAACTGTTTAATAAATACGCACATTTAAAAGTTTAAAAAAAGATTCTTAACAATTCTTTGCACAAAAGAAAAAAAAATTAAATCGTTTATTTAAAAAATTGATATAATTTTTTTTTATTTAAAAACATTTATAATAAAAAATAAATAAATAAAAAAAAGTTTGTCTTTTTTTTTCTTTTCAACAAAAACTTTAATGATTCTTAAATAAAGGTTATTAAAGGGACCTTGTCTGTTTATAAGTCGTTGCTTATAAAATTTAATTTTTTTATTTCTTACTTTTTTTATTTTTATTTATAAAATTTTTTTTAAATAATTAAATAATATAAATAAAAATTATACAACTTTCAATGATACTTAAATAAAAAATCATTAGCTACTTTAGTTAAAAGCATTTTGTTAATATAAAAACGTTAGTAAAGATAAACGTGTCAAAGTTATTTATTTTCAACGTAATTAAAAATCAATTTTTCAGCGCTTATGTTAAAAACCATGGTTAAATCATCAAAACAAAATATTCATATAAAGACTTGAAATCGTACGCCTTCCCGGCCAAGCCTCTCTCTCTCTCTCTCTCTCTCTCTCTCTCTCTCTCTATATATATATATATATATATATATATATATATATATATATATATATATATATATATATATATATATATATATATATATATATATAAGTTTATTTTTTGTAGAGTTTTTAACAGTAGAAGTAATTGCAAAATAGTAAATACAAATTTGCATATTATTTTATAATATAAGTTAGCTTTTATAGACAAAAAAAGATATATATATATATATATATATATATACATATATATATATATATATATATATATATATATATATATATATATATATATATATATATATATATATACATATATATATATATATATATATATATATATATATATATATATATATATATATATATATATATATATATATATATATATATATATATATATATGTATATATATATGTGTGTGTGTGTGTGTGTGTGTGTGTGTGTGTGTGTGTGTGTGTGTGTGTGTGTGTGTGTGTGTGTGTGTGTGTATCAAATATAAAGGATGAATAAAATATCTCATATTTTAGAGAACTGGAAGCATAAAATAATATTTGTACATTATAATATTTCTACATTGATTTGAGTTATGTAATTTTGTGGTGACAGTAAATTGAGGTAGTTTTAAAGAGCAAATGTCACTAATAAAAAAAAGCAAATTAAAAGAACTTCATAGTGTTTTATATCTCATATAGCGTTTATGTGTTATACATTTTATATTCAGCCTGCTATTGCTATAATTTATAAACTTTTGAAACCAGCAAAATTGGTAAACTTTAAGCAAAGCAAAATTTTCATCTCAAATTAGTTGCAAACAAAAAAATTTATTTAATTAAAAATTTAGGATATTTATGCGAGTGAAAAATATAAATTGTAAAGTTACCTGAGCATATTCTTTTTCAGCAGCTGCTCTAAACTTTGTGTATGATCTAAATAATAACATTTGACAGAATATAAACATGAATAAAATTATATTTTATACAGTTTTTTATATAAATTCAATTTAAATGAAAATTTTAGCTAATGCTAAATACATCATATATTCATCTTACATTATGCTATATACATAATTACACTTTGACATTTCCGAAAAATCAAGCACTGGACATTGCATTTGTTGCATTAAACATTTTGAAAATAATATAAATTGTAATCTCCGACTTTTATTTAAATAACAGCTATGTATTTATATATATCTATTATATATTTTCTATACAAAATATGGTAGCTATAGGTCATTTTATTATAAAATAAATTAATTTTATGATGGAGTCAAGCACGGAACAGAAAAAAGTTAAAAAAAAAACTAATAAAGGAATCCTATTTTCCCTGAAAATGTATCAGTGACAGGTGTTTTGTTTTTTTATAGGTAATTATACAAGCATTCTTAAAGATTATTACAAAGTTATAGCATTCCACAATTTATCTTTGCTCCACAATAGTAGTTTAAACTAATATCACGCACAGACAAAAACAAAAACAAAAAAAACGGAACATGCAAACATTTGCAAGGTGGCATTGTTTGCTGATGATACTACCATTTATTCTTGTCATGATAAAATGTCAACTCTCTCTGATTGCTTGGAGGGGGCATTTGAGCTTGAAAAGGATCTCATTTCTGCTACAGCATGGGACTCACAGTGGCTGGTGAACTTTAATTCAGATAAAACTCAATTTTTTTAGTCAATTGTTATCACAATAATTTAGACCTTCCTATATTTATGAACAGTAATGTACTTGATGAGTCATCTACCCTTCATCTTGTAGGATTAACTCTTACTTCTGATCTTTCTTAGAAACCATATATCAAATCCGTTGCAAAATTGTTTGCCAAGAACTTTTCATCAATATCATCTCTTGATGCCACTAGTTGCGTTCTACCTGATACAGCCGTCAAACAGGCTGATCCATTGCTCGACATTCATATCACTCCAGCTTCTGTATCTAAAGTGATTTCCCGCTTAGACTCTTCTACAGCTAACGGCCCAGACAACATACCTGTTATAGTCTTGCAGAAGTGTTCTCCGGAGCTGTCATCTATCCTTTCAAAACTATTTAACAAGTGCTTATCAGAGTCTTGTTTTCCAGCCTGCTGGAAAGCAGCATCTGTCATCCCTATTTTTAAAAATTCTGGAGAGCGATCTGATTCGTCTAACTACCGTCCCATTAGTCTTCTTCCTATCATAAGCAAGGTTTTTGAATCTTTAATTAACAAACACTTAATCTTTCATCTCGAATCTCATAACCTACTTTCTGATCATCAATATGGATTTCGCTCTTCTCGTTCTACAGCCGATTTGCTAACAGTAATAACCGATAGGTTTTATCGCGCATTAGATAAAGGTGGAGAGGTTTAAGCTTCATAAGCTTAAACCTCTCCACCTCTCCACCTCCATAAGCTTTCTTCTTACGGTGAATCTGGGAACATCTTTAAGATTATCGAATCCTTTCTTTCCAATCATAGTATAAAAGTTATCCTTGATGGACAGCACTCTTCTTCTTATTCTGTAACCTCAGCGGTTCCCCAAGGTTCAATCCTTGGCCCTATGCTCTTTTTAATTTACATTAACGATCTTCCAGATATTCTCACATCTAAGGTGGTATTGTTGGCTGATGATACTACCATTTATTCTTGTCACGATAAGAAGCCAACTCCCTCTGATTGCTTGCAGGGGGCATCTGAGCTTGAAAAGGATCTCACTTCTGCTACAGTATAAGGCTCACAGTGGCTGGTGAACTTTAATTCAGATAAAACTCAATTTTTTTCGGCCAATCGTTATCGTAATAATTTAGACCTTTCTATATTTATAAACGGTAATGTACTCAATGAGTCTCCTACCCTTCATCTTCTAGGATTAACTCTTACTTCTGATCTTTCTTGGAAACCTTATATCAAATCCGTTGCAAAATTAGCATCTGCTAAAGTTGCTTCTCTTTTTCGAGCTTGTCACTTTCTTACTCTGGATTCTATTCTCTATCTCTATAAATCTCAAATCCGGCCTTGTATGGAATACTGTTGCTATATCTGGGGCGGATCTTCTAATGATGCCCTTTCTCTTTTAGACAAGGTGCAAAAACGCATTGTAAACATAGTTGGACCTGCTCTTGCAGCCAACCTTCAACCTCTGTCACATCGTCATAATGTTGCTTCTATTTCTCTTTTCTACAAATACTATAATGGGCACTGCTTGAAGGAGCTAGCGTCTCTTGTGCCATCTACTAAAATTCATTCTCGTGTTACTCATCATTCAAATAAGTCTCATCCTTTTTCTGTTACTGTTCCTAAGTGCTCCAAAAACTCTTATTCGTCTTGTTTTTTTCCATCGAACATCAGTTCTTTGGAATTCGCTTCCTTCATCTTGCTTTCCTGATTCATATAATTTGCAATCTTTTAAGTCGTCTGTCAATCGTTATCTTGCTCTACAACATTCATCTTTTCTCTTACAGTAACTTCCAACACTAATTAGTGGTTGCTTGCAGCCTTGTTGGAAGCGAAGATAATTAAAAAATAAAAAAATAAAAAAAATAATATATATATATATATATATATATATATATATATATATATATATATATATATATATATATATATATATATATATATATATAATGCTTTAATAAAAATTAATGAAAACTCCCACTTTTTAAAATAAATATTTTAAACAGTATAAGTAGTAAAAAATTATCTTTTTTTTTATATATTTTATGTACTAATATTTTTTGAGATAAGTCTTTTCTTCAAACCTTTATTTAAGACATATATATTTTAAATTTAGAACAAATATATTAATTATAAGAGATTAGATAATTATCGATTTTTATTTTAATAATGAAATAATAATATTGATTTTAATAATGAAATAATAACATCATTGAGTATAGAGTAGTTATTATAGTATTAATTTTCATTTATTTACTTTTGCATACTTTTAATTAGTTGTGTTTTTATTTATTTATTTTTTTCGTATTTTTTATTAAATGTATTTTAGTATAAAAAAAATTCATCCTTTTTTGAGAACTGTTTTGAAATAAAAGAAAATTTTTTATGATATGATATTGTTTTTTAAATACTATAATGTGTCAGCAATCAAAAATTATTTTATATGGTTAAAAACCTAATAAGTAAATAATACAATAACATTGATAAGAAATCAAAAGATTTCAAACCAATTTTTGAAGACCACGCTAAGGAATTAGCTTGGTCTTCAGACCCAAAAGATTTAGAAGTCATTATGGACTCTAATCTTAACTACAAAAACATATTGAAAATGTTATCTATCAAGCTAAGTCCAGAGCATACTTAATTTTAAACTGCTTTAAAACTCCCAATCGACGAATATGGATAAAATGGAACATTATTCTCCTGATTGGTTACCATACTAAATTGGATTGATTAAACATATGTATGTATATATATGAATGTATATATAAACACTTAAAAATATATTTTTTTGATAACAAGTGTATTTATGTTTTTGTAAGTTGTTACGTTTTGTTATTTTATAACTATTTATAACTGCCCAAGTTGTGTTTTTTATATTTTTCAATCTTTATTTACATTTTATAGGTAATTTATTAACTATTTATTAAAACATCAAAACTAATATTTACTAACAATAATACCGTATATCTTCTAAAAGATCATTTTCTGCATGATGCTTAACTTGGAGCTTAGAAGTTTGTTCTGATAGCTTGTTCTTTAATGCTGTGACCAACTTCACCTTGAATAAAATGTTTTTTTATAATTTTAAAAAAATGTTGTACTTTCATAATATTCTTTGATATATATTTATATATATATATATATATATATATATATATATATATATATATATATATATATATATATATATATATATATATATATATATATATATAGAGAGAGAGAGAGAGAGAGAGAGAGAGAGAGAGAGAGAGAGAAACAACTAATATTCCTAAAATAGTAATAACTGAAGATTAAATATCATAGGTGTGAACTTTTTTTAAAAAACGTTTTATTATTTGCAAAAGATACTTTAGATTTATAGCTAGAAAACCCTGTTTGGTTAACATCATTTTAACTTGATTGTGTGATTATGGTAAGTTACTTACCATAATATTGTGTGATTATGGTAAGTTACTTACCATAATCACACAATCAAGTTAAAATAATGTTAACCAAACAAAGTTTTTTAGCTATAATTCTAAACTATCTTTTGTTTAAACATCTCTACTTACTAAGTAGAGATAATTTTAGGTTTTAAACAAAAAATTACCTTTCTATGAGCTGGAATAGGTGGCGGGGCCATGCTAATTACTTATGTATATACAAATAGCAATGTATGGACCCAGGACTATTGTTAAATTTTTATTTTAAATATTTTTTAGAATCTATTACAGATTAACAGATTTTTTATAAATTATCTTTCAAAGACAGCTACTCTCTTTAAACATTAATAAAAATGGTTTCTGAATTATTATCTGCTTCAATTTTTAATGAATCTCTTTATCTTAACAATTCGTAATTTAACTCCTGTAAACCATAGTTCTCTTGTTCTTCTATCCGTTTACATAATATTCTATTTATTTTTTCGACTTCCTTATAATTTATTACATTACTCGCACCGCTCAATTTACACCCAAACGACGCTTTATTTTCGCTAAGATTTCTCTTGATTTTTATTTAATAAATTACAAAATAATTTTTTTGTAAACCAAAATTTAAAACTTTTTATCAGGAAATTTTATGTTTTCATTTGAAAGCATTATTTCAACATTGTAATCTAATATAGGAAAAGGTGGTAAATCATTTTTAATATGCAATATTTGATAAAAACAATATTGTTTTGAATCGTTTCAATAGAATAAAGGAAAGTGAAGTTATAGAGTGAGGGGGTAGCCCGTTCACTCCGTTTCCCCTCCTCCCCCAATACTTTATAAAGTTGTACACTATAGTGTACAGTGTATAGTGTACAGTGTATAGTGTACGTCGCTAAACTTCTAAACAAACACGGCTTTTTTAACGCTTAAAGTAGTAAGCAAAATAGTCGTGTATCCAAAATTTAAAACGTTAGATTTTTTAGGTAGTTACATTAAAAAAAAAATGTTTTATTTATAATAAAAAATAAAATAATAAAAAAAAAATGTTTTATTCATTAGTTACATTAAAAAAAAAATGTTTTAAAATGTTATAAAAAAATTATAATACCATAGCTTTTATTAGTACTAATAAAAGCTATGGTATTATAATTTTTTTATAACATTTTAAAACATTTTTTTTTTATTATTAGTACTAATAAAAGCTATGGTATTATAATTTTTTTATAACATTTTAAAACATTTTTTTTTTAAATGTAATTAAACTACCTAAAAAATCTAACGTTTTAAATTTTGGATACACGACTATTTTGCTTACTACTTTAAGCGTTAAAAAAGCCGTGTTTGTTTAGAAGTTTAGCGACGTTTGCCGTGTTTGTTTAGACATAATAAAAGTGATTAAATTAGCAAGTTTATGGGATAAAAGGTTAAATGGAACATGTGTAAGCAAAAAAAAAGTGTTTTTTTTTTTGCAGTTAAGATAATCTCTGACTTTTTTTTATCTAAAAATAATAATTTTTGTTGATGATGCAGAATACTTTTACATAGAATAAGTAAAATGTGCCATAACGTAAATTTTACACACTTTATGTAGTATAAAAACCGTGTTTTAACAAGTGTTAGGGAAATAAGTCCTATTTATAATTGTTTGTTGTTGTTGTTCAAATATCATTTAGACAAGCTAAAATTTTGCTTAATTTTTTCAATATGATTTTATCCTCTGAGCAATTTGTTTACCAACAACCAGTAGTTTATTTATTTAAGGGCGTTACATAAGTAAAAAAAAAATCAATTTTTTGAGAACTATATTATTTTATTCTAAAATAACCATAAATCCTATTTTTTGTAACAGTTTTTAATAAAACCCTTTGTAAATGAATTAGAATTTCATAGAGATAAAATTCTAATTAATTTACATAAAGCGCCTCACTTTTCTTTTAATTAAACTTTACCAATATAAAAAGCCTAATAGAAAACGTCTCACTTTTCTTTTAATTAAATTTTTTTACACTTCATTTACAAAATAACTTAAATAACCTGAGAATGACTTGCTTGAATACCTTGTGCTTAATCCACCAAATCAAAGCTAGAAAAATTAAATTTGTTTAACTTAGGGTATTATATACTTGTGTAGAGTTCTATAGAATTCAAATTAATGGAAAGAAAAAAAAATTGAAATTTTTCAAACTGAAAGGCTCTAGAAATTCTTGAACATCTTTTTATTTTTTACCAAGATTGTGTTACAAAGATGGCTTCCAAGACTGAAAAACATCCTATATTTACTCTTTCTAAACACAAACAGTCAGCAGAACATAACTTAGTCATTATCAGATGCAGTTCTCTTTGATTTTGCAAAGGTTTTCCGTTCCGCAGAAAAAAAAATCAAAGTGTTGGTTCAAAACACATTAAAAATTAAAAGGGTGCGCTTTAATGCTTTACCGAGAAAAATTCATTTCTGGACTTTGGTTTAAAAAAAATAAAAAAAGGACCTCTAAAAATAGTGCAAGAGATTTTTCCTTCCAATAAGGTGAGTTACGATGTGTTACATGGAGTTACGATGGGTAAAGATTTAAAGTTTGAGGGACAGATAAAATATTTATTCAGTGAAACATATGGTAAAAAAATTTGTCGTTTTTTCTTGCATAGAATTTTTATCCCATGATAAAGTTACCCTGTTGTTTAACGGCTTTATCAAGTCTAATTTTTCTTATTTTTCTCTAATTTTAATTCTAAATACTACTCAACCTCATAAATAGAATTCAAAAAATTTAAAAAGTTTGATTTATCTCTAATTGTAAGTTATGGTAATAGCCAAAGGATCCACTTAAATCCACTTTTAAATGAATTAGTTTTCGAATTTCTGAATTTATGAAGAATCTATTTACTATAAAAAGTTCATCCCTTTAAACTTCATTGTAGCAAAAAAAATAGTTCTACCACCGAACGGCTCTAAACATAAGGATGCAGACTGTACTTTATATAGAGCCATCTCTTTATGGAGTTCTTTAGATAACATGACCATGTCCTCTAAAAGTTCTAAGGTGTTCAAAAAGCATATCAAGAATCCGTTATGCAAAAAATTGTGTTTTCCAAATTTGTCGTTTTGCACAAAATTCTTTAGATGCACTGGTATCTAAAGATTTTTGCAGGTAAGTTTTAAGCAGTTAAACACTTTGACTAATTAATTCATATGTGCTGTAGTTTTTTACAAAAAATTATGCTGTAGAAATAAGATGTTACTGAGGGTTGTAAGCGAACCAAGATGAAACTACTAGTGCTAAAAACACAACTATTACTGGAAGATTTAAAATGGTATCCAAGATTAATATGAACATTTATTCGCTTATGAGAAAGTTGGAAAGAAGAAAATTGGTTAAAAGCTTAAACAAACACCTGGGCTTTCTCATCAAGATACAAGAATTCGGTCCTGACAGTGTTTCTAGTCATACAGCGAAACTTGTTGACCTATACGTTAAAAATATACAAAAATTTAGTTTGAAAATAAGAAGAGGAAATTTAATCTTAGGAGCTGGTTCAAATCATTAGACCTAAGAATCTAAACAAACACCTGGGCTTTCTCATCAAGATACAAGAACTCGGTCCTGACAGTGTTTCTAGTCATACAGCGAAACTTGTTGACCTATACGTTAAAAATATACAAAAATTTAGTTTGAAAATAAGAAGAGGAAATTTAATCTTAGGAGCTGGTTCAAATCATTAGATCTAAGAATCTCAAATTATATTTTAAAATGTGAAGATTATAGTGCAAATATTTTAGGTATCGCCGCTATAAACTGTTTAGGAAAGCGGTCATTCAACACACTAAAACAAATCAAGAACTTTCAAGGAAAACTGGAGGGCCCCATTTTTACATTGAAAAAGTTATTTTTGTACGATTATTGAGTAATAAAGTGCATACATTTGTTAATGTAAAAATTTATCAATGCACTTAAGCCTTTTTTTGTTGATAATAATAAATTCCAGATTTGTATGTTAAATCTGGAATTTATTATTTTTTTAAACATACTACATTTTGATATATATATATATATATATATATATATATATATATATATATATATATATATATATATATATATATATATATATATATATATATATATTACATATCTTTCTTTACGCTTATAATTAGGACAATTGCAAATACAACTTATAAAGGATACCTCAATTTACGAAATTGGCATTGTTATACAATATGCCCTTAAATATTTTTTTCCAATATCTTTTATCGATAAAACTGTTTATTATATCATCAAAATTGATCTCGCAAATAATATCTGATTCGATAGACGTCAAGCTCAGCATGTCTAATCTCTCTTGAAGCATGGCACTTCTTTGCTAATTTTTAATTTGTTTTATGTTAATGTAAAAATTTACCAATGCGCTGAAGCCTTTTTTTCATAAATATAAAAAATTATATGTTAAATCTGGAATTTATTATTTTTTTAAACATACTACATTTTTTTATGTATATATATTTTACATATCTTTCTTTACGCTTATAATTAGGACAATTGCAAAAACAACTTATAAAGAATACCCCAATTTATGCCTAATCTCTCTTGAAGCATGGCACTTCTTTGCTAATTTTTAATTTGTTTTATTTTTGAAAATGAGCGCTCCACAAAACAATTTGTAATCATAAGTGTGACAAAAATGCAAAGAGCAATTTTGACGTTCGGAAAAACAAATCCGAGTTTGTCATGAACCAAAGTTTCGTAAAGTTCATAATAAGAGAACTGAGTTTTTGATGCAAATTTTAATTTGACGTAGCTGTGATATTGTCTCAATTCGGTATGAAAATCTTTTAAGTTGTTAGAATAAAAATCAACCAAAATTTAGAAACTTTCTGCCGATAGACATTTCTGGAAGTTCAAAGTTAGCCAAAAAAGAAAACATCTCTGCAACCTCTAAGTAAACTTTGCTTCGCTCATTATTCTCTCTCTTAAGCCTATCAATAATTACAATAAATTGATACTTAATATACGTTGATACGAAAATTATCTCGAGCAGGTAGTATCACGTACGGGGCATGAAGTTCTTTAGAAGTTCTTATTTTTAGACAAATTCGCGTTAGAACATACGCATAAACAATACCTGGCAAGATTAGTTTTGCTTTGTTTTCAAATTCATCAAAATTGTCTCTCATTTTGTCTAACATACTTTTTTAACGATAAAGAGGGATCTTCAGCAATCTCATTCAATGCTGACAAAAATGCTTAGAAAGAATTGAGAACTGCTTTGGTGGCATTTGCGTGAGCCTCTCAACGCGTTTTCAATAATGATTTGAGTACTTTTTCGTTCCCGATGCGGTGTTTTAAGACATCCCAGCAATGCATCCAACATGATTTTGACACTCTTATGGACCACAGTTAATCCAAAAACTGACTTCATCTTTATGAAAATTGCGCCACTTTCCAGGATTGGTTGTAAGACAGTCCCTCTTAATAGTAGATTCATTTCCGAAAGTAAAAGAATCAGATCTAACTATGTGCTGTTCAAGATCAT